GCTGGATGCAGATCACCTAGAGCCTCAGAGTCTACTGTAGGATTTTGGCTTTTATTTTGAGACTAATGGGGGAACTATGGGAGGTTTTCTTTATCTCTCTTTTGATAGCTTTACTGAAATATCTTAGACATATAAAAATTGTATACATTTAAGATATACTTGATATTTGGATTTACATACACAATGTGAAAAGACCACAATCAAGCTAATTAACATGTCCATCCTCTCTACATAGTTACCACTACGTGTATATGTGTGTGTGTGTGTGTGTGTGTGTGTGTGTGTGTGTGTGTGTGTGTGTGTGTTTACAATATGGGAGAGATTGGGGACGCCTGGGTGGGGCCGTCGGTTAAAGCGCCGACTCTTGATGTGGCTCTGGTCATGATCTCACGGTCATGAACTGAAACGCCGCATCGGGCCGGGCTGTGTGCTGACAGCGCAGAGCCTGCTTGCTTGGGATTCTGGCTCTCCTCTCTGCCCCTTCCCTGCTTGTGTTCCCTTTTCTCCCTCTCAAAATAAATAACTTAAAAAATATATATGGGAGAGTTTTGAGCAAAGGGGTGACAAGGTCTTACATTCTTGAAAGATTGTTCTGTTACAGTAAACCTCTGTCGCATTTTACAAATGAATGATTTCTCCTAGATGGGCCCCCAAACCATAGAAATGGAGATGTGACCCCTTCCTCAGTCAAGAAACATTTATTTGGATAAGAAGGGAGTCCTTGGGGCTAGGGGCTGGGAAGCTGGCCTGGGTTTCAGGCCTGGGACCCAGCAGCCCGGACAGGTTGGGAGGGGCACTTCCTCTTGCTGAGGTTGGTGAGGATCTGGTCCTGGTTGGACCGGTAGAGAACTACGAAGCTCTCTGGAGGAAGGGTAGGACCTCTGTTCTCTTCCACCTGGCCCATCATCAGATAACTGACTCCTGGGGGAGGGGAGGGAGGGATTGAGAGTGTGTTATTGAGACCTTGTAGATATACCTCCTCATCAGAGTCCTTCAGATTCTATCATTTTCATGAGGCAAAGTCCTCCTCCCCATTCACCCACATCTGTTACCTTTCTTCATGGGGGGGCACTGCTTGCAGGGCACATAAAACTTCAGGGGAGTGTCAGTGAGTGGAGAAGGCAGGTCCAGGCCACCGGTTTTGTAAGCACCAATGAGACTGACAGTGACAGTGAGGCCCTCCCCTGGGCCCCGAACCATTGACTTCACTGTTGCGGTCACCACTGTGGGAGAGTGGGGGTGAGCGGTGAGGAGAGAGGAGGCCAGCTCAGGGCTGGAACCAGGAGGAGGGATTTGAGGGCCGGAGGGAGTTGAGAGCTGCTGGAGGAGCAAAGCTGGGAGATGGGGCTTCTTACCCAGGTTGCTGGTACAGAAGTTGCTCTGCAAGGTGCCTGTCCGGCGACACTGCTTTGGGCAGGGGACACTGGGCACATCTAGGAGGGAGGGGGATGTGGTTTGTGGAGGGCGACCTACGCAGCGGGTAGGAAGTGCCACTTTCCCCATAACGGCCTCGTTGATTAGGACCCATTCCGAGCTCTTTCCAGCTTTGGGCCCCAGCACCCAGTACCAATTCAGAGGAGGCACCAGTGAGTGATGTATGAGTGAATGAATGAGTTCAGAAAGGACACCTTTGAAACGGCTGCCTTCAGTCTGCGTCCCCTTCCTCCCCCTTCCCAGACTCACCGGGGCCCCCCGGAGTTGCCTGGGCCTCAGACGAGGCTTTTGGTTTCTCCTCAGATGGGAGTCCGGGCTTGGGGCCCGGGCTGAGGATCGGGGTACCCGACCGGGCATCCTCCCTGGCGTTCTGGGCCTGCTCTTTGGCGGCACCCCGCGGCAGGGTCTTGTAGGAGGCGGAGAAGCCATCGGCCGTGACACTGAGGTCAGAGACGAACTGGACGAGGAGCTCGTTTCCTTCCGAGGAGATGGGACTGCGGGTGGCGGGGCAGCGGGGGATGCGTCAGGCGGGCCTTGTGACCTCTGCCCGGGGTTGACTGTACCAGCTTCCTTGCTTCGCAGGACCTACTCGCCTCTGGATCCGCGGACCCGGTTTGCCTGGCTTCCTACTAGCTCCGCCCACCAGTGTGGGGGCTCCGGGTTCAGATCCCGCCTCTTCAGCTAAGCCTGGCCCCTCCCAACCGCCGCGAGGTTCCCACCACTGTTTCCCCTGGGGAATTGGAGACGCCCCGGTCCACCGTCCACCCAGGTCCCGCCCCCTCACCCCGGGGCGGTGTCGCCGCAGAACTTCCCCAGCCTCTTGGCGTCGTCGCTCACGGCTCCGTTGAACACACTGACCGAGTCGTAGCGGCAGTAGGTGTCGGGCTCCAGGTCAAACTTCCCGAAGGTCAGCGAGATCACCTGGCGGCAGGACCCAGGGCGGCTTGAGGGCGCGGAAGCCCTGCACCTCTCTCCTCCTCCACTCCGCGTCGCCTCCGGAAGTCCAGAAGCTCGCCACAGCTTCCTCTTTCCACTCCCGCGTCTCCTGGAGATCTCCCCTCCCCCCGCTAAAGCATTCACCACCACTCGGAGGATCACACACTCAGGGGAACCTTTCAGTGGCGTCTGTTGCCGTCGTCGGCCAGGTCTAGTCCTGGCTCATTCTCAAGGAACAGACCCAGCATCCACCTCCACCGCCTCCACACACACACACACACACACACACACACACACACACACACACCCCGTTTATATATCAGCATCGTGTACCTCACTCTCGTAAGACCGTCACAGGTGTAATTTTACATTTTTTTTTTTGAGTGCAAGCAGTTCTGGGTCTGGTTTTGCTCCCCACCAGCGCGAGCTCACTGGTCGGGACATAGCAGATGGTCAATTAATCTCTGCTGGCTGCATGCTGGAGGACGCCGCCTGGGTCCCCGAGGGCAGCCGGGGCTGGGGATCGGTACCTGGTCCGGGGGAGCGATGATGTGCCAGGAACAGCTGATGCCCGGGGGATAATCAGACTCGGGCCAGTTGGGCGTGGTCAGGGTTCCCTGGGCCTTCTCCAGCCGCCCCCCGCAAAATTGGTGCTCTGGGGAGGGGAGAAAGGAGTGGGGGTGGGAGGCGGTGGAGACCCTCGGTCAGCTCGAGGAGAGCTCTAGGCTGGAAGCCGGTGCTGGAAGCTCGGACGTCTGGGTCTCAGCGGGAGGGGATGAGAAGAGGGGTAGGAAAGAGGGGGTTGGTTAGCAGAGAGGGGGCTTGGAGGACCAGCGTTCAGGGGAGTCTTGGAGCCGGGCGCCCAGTCAGGCGGTGGAAGGGGGAGGAGGACTTGGCTGGACACGCTCCCTTCTCGCCCCTCCCCCTGACCCGCGGCCACCTCGCTCCTCTTCCCCTGGGAGATCCCATCTCCCCCGCCCGGCGGAAAAGTCCCCTTTGCAGGCTGGGGAGTCCTCACTCTGTGAGGGCGCCCTCAAATTGGGGCACAGCCCCAGAGGCCTCTTTGGCGAGGCCCCTGCCTTAAACATTTTAGGGGAGGCTTCTGCCGCCAGGAGGGGGTGATGGGACCGCAATCGGGAGCCCTGGACTGGGTGTAGGGGGCTCCGGGTCGGGGGAACCTAGTCCCCCAGCCCGGGGGTGCCCCCTCGCGCCCGTCTGAGGGAGCCCGATTGCGGACGGGGGCGGGCAGTTACTCACCGTCCCAGTAACCCCAGGCCGCCCATTCCACCCGCGGGTCGGTGACCCATTTCCGCCTCGCGCCTGGGGGGGGGGCTGGGAGGGGGGGTGGGGGGGGTGGGGGAGGGGCGAGAGAAGATGGGGAGGAGGGACTGAAGGGGCAGTTAGTGAGGAAAAAGGGTAAGGGAGGTAATGGGGGCCCTAGGCTCTCGGGCGCAGGGTTTGTCGGGGGGGGGGGGGGGGGTTCCGGCGGGGGGGGGGGCCT